CGTGGCGGCGTCCATGACTCCGCTCGGATACCACCACTGTACGCCGGGCGGCGGTGCGGAAGGTGTGCCGGGTACGCCGGCGGCGCCGCCGCCACCGGCACCCGCACCACCGCCGCCACCACCGCCGCCGCCACCGCCGCCGCCGCCGCCAGCGGCGCCTTGTCCAGGACCCGGCGCCGTACCAAGCCTGTAATCGTATCCACCCCTCATGCACGCGGCGCCGCCGCCGCCCGGCGTGGATGTCGACACCGGACTCGATATCGCGCCGGTGGTGGCCGGGTTCTGGAAGCTGGAGGCCATTTTGTAGGAGAAGAGCTGTTGGTTCACCGCGGCGGCAGTACTTCGGACGCTGTCCGGATGGTGCTGCGACTGCTGCTGTTGCGCGAGCTGTTGCTGCTGCTGCTGCTGTTGTTGCTGCTGCTGCTGTTGCTGTTGTTGCTGCTGCTGCTGATTCATCAGATGCTGATGTAGATTCTGTTGTTGCTGCTGTTCGGTCTGGAGATTGGAGGGCCACCAGGCGGCACCGCCGGAGGCATCCTCTCGGTTACCCGGGCTCGCGGTGCCCCAGCCACCGGCCACGCGGTGGTGCTCCGACATATCGCGACGTACGTCCGTACGTCCGTGAGCGTCCTCAGCCTCTCGTTTTACCCGCCGGTGACACAACACCAGCGAGGGAAAAGAAAAATTCACGGAGGACGTGCTCGCACGCGCGCGCACACGTACACATGCACGCGCTAGCGTTCCCTTTCTCTTTCCCTCTCCCTCTCTCTATTCCCGTCCGTCTTTCTTTCTTGCTACGAGTCTTTCTCTCCTCCTCCCTTTCTCTATCTTTCTTTCTCTCTCACACACACACTCGCTCTCTCTCTTTCTAGTACTCACACGCACACGCGCGCGCCCGCACGCTCATAACTCGGCAACATCCCGCGTGTGCACGCACAGTGCACACAGACAGCAAACTCTATATTACTCCTTCTCTCTCTTTCTCTCTCTCTCACTCGCTCGCTCGCGCACGTACACGGAATCCGTCTCACATTCGCACACTTGGGAACTCGCTGGTACGAACGCTTAGATGTCGGACAGGAGAGGAGAGGAGAGACACGCACCACACGCACGCGTTTCAAACGCGGTCTCACTGTCGCACGACACTGTCCACGTTCAACCGCGGCCGACGGTGACGGTTGAACACCGCTACGAAGAAGAACACCGATCACTATAACGCTCGTGCTTGCCCGTGCTCGCTTACTCGCATCGCGAACGGCGAGCGCGCAGGCGAAACGACGTTTCCACCGGTTTCCTTCTCTCTTTCCTCTTTTTTTTTTCTTTACGCGTAACCAGCG